AGGGGAAATAAGAACCCATCATACTTCCACCATTCTAATGTAGTGGAATCCTGTCTTCTCTAGGAGTTCAGGTCTAAAGCTAACCAACAAGGCTGGTGGGTAGTTCACATGCCCTTTGGACACCCTTTAAATCACTAGAATCTGTGTCTTGTAACCCACAAGCCAAGAATCCATTTGTTTTTGTTTGTCTCTGCATTTAGGCTGAGGCTTCTTCTGGGGCCTGAGGTTTAGTGTTAAGGGAGAATGAGGAGACCAAGCAGGTCAATGAAGGAATTCTTCTCTCCTGCCAAGCTGGAATTCCTGTATCATAGACGCACACATGCTGTACCTCTCTTGGACTCTCATTTCTCTGTATTTGAGGTGGGAGTGGAGTAGAATGGGGGGAGCCATTCAGTCATTTATTCAACAACTTACCGAGCAGGTGCTGCAGGTGCTGAGGCAGAGGGAACAGCGGGAAGAAAAGCAGATAAATTGGAAGCATGTGGATGTTTAGGGAATCTTGAGAGGTGTTGTCTGAATAGAGTCTGGAATATGTACAGGAAGGCAGTGGGTGGCAGGGCTGAACAAATGGGTTGGTCTCACACTTGGAGGGGCCAGGTGGAGGCGTGTGTTCTTAATTCAGTAGGTGAGAGGGCAAGCCATGGGCGGTCCCTGGTAATTAGTTGTTATCAGCCTGGGGTGGGGATGGGAGATTATTTTAATAGTCTTGGCTGGAGGCGATGAGGACCAGAATGAAGGTATTGTTCATGAGAGCTTCAGTTTTATTCAACCACAGATATTTATGGAGAACCTACTATGTGTTAGGCCTGGGAGTGGAGGAAATGGAGAAGACACTAAAGAGGGAGCATATAAGAGATTTAGGAACCTTCACAGTGGAGAAGAGTCCCTACGTGATGCGGACTGTTAACTGTAAGGTTGGAGGTTTGAACCCACCCAGAGGTACCTTGGAGGAAAGGCCTGGCAGTCTATTTCCAAAAAATCAGCCAGTGAAAACCCAAGGGAGCACAGTCCTACTCTGACACCCATGAGGTCACCATGAGTCAGAGTCAGCTCC